TTAAATTGTTTAACAGGCTACCTCTTGAGTCACACCATGTTAGCATGAAGTCCTTTAAATCTAGTCTAATGGCCTGGCTGCTTAAAACCCGTTTTATAGCTTGGAAGAATATTTTAAATGTTCCAGAATTAATTTAAGTTTTAGTAATTAATTATTGACATTGACTAGTCTTGCTCTGTTATGTTTACACCTTGTTACCTTGTTTATAGTTATATAGATGGCATTGTTGATCTTTAGATATATATATATATATTCACTCTTGTTAATTTATTAGTCTTAGTATCTTGACGTCAACTGTACAAGTGTACAATCTTGTTTCTTGTTGAAATAAATCTTTGAATCTTTGAATCTTTGAATCTTTGAATCTGTAGAAATGCTGAAGAAGCATCCAGTACACTGAAGTATCTTGCACCATCCAACTGTGAGAAAATTTCTTGGAGCGTCGCCATTTTGTAGTGTTCCCTTTTTATATATTTATTAAGAGTTCTTGGATCAATACAAATTCTAACTTTACCATTTGGCTTCTTCGCTATTACAATCGGATGTACCCAATCAGTAGGTTCGCTTACCTCTCTTAAAATACCGTCTTTGACCATTTTATTTATCTCTTCCCTAACTGTATCATTTAAAGCTTTAGGGATAGCTCTGGCAGGAATAACTTTAGGAACTGCGGTATCTTCAAGTTTTATATCATAAACGAATGGTAATTTTCCTAGCTCATCACCAAATACATCATAAAACCTATCGTACACACTTTCACTTGGTTTAGTTATTTCATTTACTCTAGAAATGAGATTCAGTTCTTGGCATGTTTTAAGCCCTAATATGGGACAGGCATCTTCATTCACAATGTAGAATTCTGCTAAAAAATTTCTTTTAGAACCCCCCAGTGTACAATTTAGAAGGCAAGTACCTACAACTTTGATGTCATGCCCACTATAAGACTTGAGGCGTTTACCTGGAGTCGTCATGTTAGCGTCAGGAGCTATTTGTTGATAAAGCTTGTAAGGAATAACATTGACGTCGGCGCCAGTATCGAGCTTAAAAGATATGCCAACCCCATTTACGGTAATATTCTGACACCAACTATGTTTTGAGTCTACAGTGTTGACAACAATAGTTTCAATACTTAAGTCCTGACTCTCGCCACTAATTCCCACTTCATTAGGTTCAATGTCCTCATTAGATTCAATGTTATGAATGTTTTGGGCCTTACAGGCGTTTGCAAAGTGATTAAATTTCTTGCATTTTATACATTTCTTTCCCCAAGCAGGACAATTTCTGTAATTGTGAGTTTTTAAACATTTAGAGCAGACTTTAACTTGTCTTTTATTTGTAATGTTACTCGAATTTGGTAAAGTAATGTTATGAATTTTAGATCCTACATTAGTTGTTTCGTCAAGTTGTGAATCAAGTTTCATTAGTTGCACTTGTTTTTTACTCTCCTCCCTAGCCGTGCAGTAGTGAATTGCTTTATCAAGTTTCAAATCACTCGTCATCAACAACCTTTCTTTACACGCTTCATCTTTAGTCCCTATTATCAATAGATCTCTTACAAGGCTTTCTTCCTGATCCCCGAACTGACATTTTTTTGCCTGATTTTTTAGACTAGTTACAAATGACTGAACTGATTCGTCGGACTTTTGCCTGAGGTTAAAGAAAGTATACCTATTAATAACAGTGTTTACTTTAGGCTCAAAGTATTCGTCAAAACATTTAATTACAGTGTCTAAATTGTCTTTTTCCCCATCATCCAATTCAAAGGTGTTGAAAATGTCTAGGCAACCATATCCCATTAAACATAGCAGTAAAGCAACTTTGATTTTCCCCGACTTTTTAGATTTTTCATTTGCTTCCAGGTACAACAGAAATTTTTGCTTGAACTTAGTCCATTCATTTAATGTGTTGCTATTTAAATCAATAGCTGACGGAGGTTTTAAAAGGTCCATTATTCTATTTAAGTTTGTATATTACCTTTACCGCTGCCACCAATGATAAAGCTTCATAAATTATATTTATTTATTGGTACTGAACACTGGTTTTTAATAGAACTCACCATAAAAACCCAAAACTAACATAAACACAACAAACAATAATAATAATAAATATTACATCATCTGATTTAAGACAGAATAAATGTCACATGTCACAAAAACGAGGTTCGTTATATAGAGGTTAGGTTTGCAGGAATTTCGCTAAGTCGAGGTTCAGAACCAGCGTCGATCAATATAGGTCGAGGGACTTGACCTCATTAAAATACAGTACAATTAAAGTAGCATGGGCTACAATACTTTACAGTACAGTGTTTACATTGTACAGTAGAACCTAAATTATCCGGCATAATAAAGGGGAGGGATCTTGAATATTGCGCAATCATGAAAATGGCATTGACCTTGGTACAGGTTAAAAACTGTAAGTTTAAAATCACAGCTTGTTCTAACCCTCCTAAAACCTAGCCAAACACTGTATTGCGTAGTCATAAATTATGTAAAGAACAAAACAAAACAGTAGAAAGTTTTGTAAGCTACTGCTCGCGATAGGCCGGTGTAGGCTACTTACAGTACAGTACTGATTTATCACAACAGAGGAATGTCAATAATAATCATTAACTTATAGCATTGGTGTTGATAATGCTAGTTGAAACAAATCGTATTGAAAACAATAAAGTATTAGATAAGTCATTATAAAAGTGTTTAATCATAGCCAACTTAAGGATAGTAAAAATACTCGTAATTAAAAGGAATGTTAAAATAGCGATGTTGTTATTCTTTCTCTTTGGTTTTGTTTTTATATTCTTTCTTAGGTTTTTCTTTATCAAAAAATTGTACAATTCACCATAGTTATCCCATATCGCCCAATCACAGCTTACTAAACATTACGTCGTCATCAGTCCTCGGTGAATAAAATCAGTTCTCAGTTGCAGCCAACGATCACATAAGACCAATAGATGGAGCATGTTGGCCGCGACGTGAAGCCAGTATTTTTCACTAATCTTAACTAAGATGGCGGCTGCCGGCTGTGATGAGCCCCAGTACCGCGCGCAACTAATTAAATGTTAGTTGATAGCAATGGTATCCATGACAATACGCCTTTGTATTACAAATATTTCTGTTACTAACACAATGACCTTCAAAATACGCTTTTGATTTTTTTTTCTAGCGTTTACCGTTTCTTAGAAAAAGTTAGTTTACATAATTAACAACAAAAACTTTTTGGGCAAAAGGAAAATTCTGAAAAGCTACAAATCTGTTTATAATATATGTATATACATCGTATTAAAGTTTGATTAAGTTCTGATGTTTGGTTTACAATCTACGAATTTTCAAAGTGACAAGATAGTTTCTGAAACTGTTTATACAACCCTCCTTTATATTCTGACTGTCATATTAATTTTTATGAAAGAGCTAAAAAATATGATTTTTTTGATGAATACAAAGAATAAAACTAAGAACATTTATATGTAATCCGTGTTTTTCTAATTAGTTTAGTAACTTTTCTGTATAGCTCCAAATTTGAGTATCTAAACTGTATTACAAGTGACGTTGTAGGCAGAATCTGCCCGCATGACGCCACGCGGCGCGGCGGGTAGCCCCTATATTACAATTTAAATTACAACCAAACTACACCAGCTAAAAATTTAAAAAAATATGATCCAAAAGGTTCAACTCTTTAGCTACAAAATCCACCGTTTTTTAACTTACCTGACCAAAAAATAAAAAAAGTAGCAGCCGACGAACTTTTTCATGTCATATTTTAAAACTCATTTAAAAGTACCGACTTTATTTGAAGATTTAAAATAGAAAATACTAACTTTTAAGCTTTTAATTAAAACCAATAGTGTCATAGACTTATTGACTTCACTCATACGAAGTTTCAACCATATAACTTAAGTCTAAGTAGGCTAAATGTCGAGTTATTTGAAAGCGGAACATTGAGTTTTTGTGCCGTTTTCATCGACATCTTGTGCTTCTAACCTAAACTAAGATGGCGGACCTGGCTTAGATAGGCGTGCTCCATCTATTGGTCTTATGTGATCGTTGGTTGCAGCATAGCGCACGCAGAGACAGCAGACAAAGATGTAAAACGGAGCAGACGAATGTTAGCGCAAGCGATGACGTGACCTTTCCATTTCATTTGATAAAGAAACAGATTTTCCCAAAACAATAATTGGGTGGGGGGACTTGTTATATCGAGGGAAAGACGTAGACAATTCGTTATGCAGAGGTTAAATTCGCAATGTAGAGGTTCTGACAATGATAAATTCGTTATATTGAGGTGTCTTATTTTAGCCTAAATCACGAAAAATTCGTTAAATCAAGGTCGTTGTTGTGGTTTGTTCGTTATGTAGAGGTAAAATATTTATTGTGTCTTATGGAGAGTTCTAGGGGATTTAAAAAAAATCGTTATATCAAAGAATTCGTTATATCTATCTATTCCACTTTACCTATTCCATTTTTGTTTAATTTGTGAGGGATATTTGTTGTGGGTGAAGGGGGGGGAGGGGCGGCAAATTTTAGTTTGCCCCCACTCAAAAATTGTCTAGATCCGGCCCTGTAAACAACAGTAGAATTTTAAAAAATTTGGCTATCATGCATTAGGCACTATTTGCCTATACACAGTCTGATTTAAATGACAAAACCTTAACAGACAATTTTGAAATCCGATCGTTAAAAAATGTTTAGTAAGTGCAAACCTTACATATTAGTAATTTTAATTTTTCTGTTAATATGTGAGCTGTTTATCCCTGTAAAACTGTTAAAAATGGGGAATGGTCATAGTTGACATTGGGTGGTGGTGGTACCTGTTTGCAAGAAATTAATTACAAAGATTAAAAACCATAGTAAAAAAAACATCCATAGTAGCCTAGAAACAATATTAATTGCATTATCAACATTCCTAAGTGCTTAGGCTATGAATAAATATGGCAGTACCATTGTCAAACAATAGTTTTATCCTAAATTAATTGGAACCTTGTGAGTAACAAAGCATTAGTCACTAACCTGTCTTGTAACTTTCTGAGTAAGTACAGCAGCATTGGCTCCATCAACTCTATCAACAAGTTTACCTTTCCGTAGTAACAGAAAAGTCGGAACTGCTGTGATTTTATGCTCCATGGAAATTTCTGGGATATCTTCAGCAAGTAGTTTACCAAATTTTACATCCTGAAAAGTATTACAGAACTATGCTAAACAAATACACTTAGTTACAGTTTTTTTACAAAACAATAAGGTACGGATTTTTCTATTTTAAAAGCATTTAATTAAATTTTTTGTTTGATCTAAGCTATAAAAACTTGATACAATAATTTCTACATCAAAACATCGTAATTATTATTAAATCTTTGAGACAGTGACGCACACTTGGGTGCGTATTTCAAGCTGAATATGTATACAAGGTGAGTAATAAGGAGTTGACATCAACATATGACTTAACACACATGATTTATGTTATTGTTTTTAATGTTTATGTTTGTGTTTATATATTTTTCATTCAGTTAAAATGGTTGAATAAAATAGGTTGTACATTCTCTTGTATCTTGTTTATTATATAATTTAAGGATTTGATAACTGGCGACGAGGAAAACCAAAATGGAGTCAACTGACATTACATTACATTTAAACAGTTACAAAAGGATTAGAACATCAATCAAGGCACAATTGACTAAATTAACAAACAAACAATCATGAAATTGATCCTAGGCAAGTTGACGAACGTCTAGAACTTCTGGACTCAACATGGACTAGATTTCTTGAAGTACAAGAGAAAATAGAACAAATAATAAACGACACAGAACTGGATGAAGAAGTAAATTACAAGATGGACATTGAAGAAGTATTCATTAAGTTGAAGATTATGTTGAAGCAGTTGAAACCTATTTCACTTTCGAATACAACTCAAGAAATCAATGGTAATGCAAGCAACTCTACTGGCAATACAGCTTCAACATCCCATATTTCATTTGTACCTTTCAGTGAAGATGAATCTTTTGACAATTTTACAAAAAGACTTGAAGTATTTATGCACCTGAAACACATATCAGACGAAACTACAAAGACATTCACCCTACTTAATGCCCTACCTCCTACGTTACATCAAAAGCTCTACAACATTTGTGCACCTGACACGCCACTTCAGAAAGATTATGATGACCTTATAGCTTTATTAAAGCAATACTTGGATCCTCAACCAAGTGTTTGGGCACGGCAACATAATTTCATAGTACGAGAGCAAATTATATGTGAATCCGTTACAGATTTTACAGTTGAACTAAAGAAACTTGTTACTCCTTGTGAATTCAAATGTTCTTGTGGAAAATCTACAGCTGAAACTATGCTACGTTTACAGTTCATCAGGGGATTGCGAGACGCTGAGATAAGAACGAAACTACTACAAGTAGAATCAGACAAGACCTTCCAGGAAGTCATAAATACTGCTAAGATAATGGAACTATCTAAAACTGAAAATACAATGATTACATCTTCACAACATAAAGCCGAAATTAATCAAGTGATCTCAAAGCCTACTAATAAACGATTCAATACAAACAGTGAAATGAGAATTAAATCTACAGGACACAACAACAGTTCATTCACATTCCAATCACTTAAGGGAAAGTGTTACAGATGCGGTGACGAAAAGCATAAAGCAAACAAATGTAAATTTACTGAACACTGGTGTAGAAAATGTGGCAAGATGGGTCACATCGCTCGAGTGTGTCTGAGCGAGAATACCATGACAAAATTTAAGAACTTGAGAAACACATGTCAAGCTGATGTCTTAGTTGAAGATGATGAATCTTATGAAATGAACTTAATAACTTCAAAAAACTCAGATAAGTTTAATTTGAAGGTGAACATTGAGGGGAATGAAATTACAATGGAACTAGATACTGGGGCCGCATTGAGCACCATATCTTACAAGGATTACATGAATCTAGGATTGAACAAATCCATTCACAAAACGAAAGTGGAACTTCGTACTTATACTGGGGAGGTTTTCGAGCCTGTTGGATATGTATTTGTGAAATGCACATACAAAAATCACGATTTCATTGGTAAACTATACGTGATCAACCGGAATGTCGATCCTATCTTTGGACGTGATTGGATAAGGGAAGTTAAACTAGATTGGGCTGACCTTAGGAGTATTACAAGTTCTCACATGCATGCAGATATCGATAGACTGATTGAGAATTACAAGGATGTATTTGATCAAAATATTGGTGTTATTCCCGAGGTAGAAGGTCATATACAACTACTTGAAGATGCCAAAACGGTTTACATGAAACCTCGTTTAGTGCCATATGCTTTAAGACCTAAAGTTGAAGAAGAACTGGACAGATTGGAAAAAAATAGGAATCATCTCGAAGGTTGAACAAAGTGATTGGGGAACTCCAATCGTTCCAGTCGTAAAACCCAGTGGCAAGGTCAGAATCTGTGCAGATTTCAAAGTGACTTTAAATAAACAAATTAAGGACATCAAATACCCTATTCCACGTATTGAGGACATTTTTGCAAAAATGAGTGGTGGTAAGTACTTTTGTACACTAGACATTAGTAACGCTTATTTACACATGGCAATGGACCAAGAAAGTGCGCTACTACAAACAATCAGTACACATAAAGGACAATATAAGGTAAATCGACTCATGTTCGGAATCAAGACTGCTCCGGCTCTATGGCAAGGGTTTATGGACAAAATACTTTCTGGAATTGATGGCGTTCAGTGTTTTTTTGACGATATTATTATTCAAGGTTCGACTGAGTCTGAGGCCCTAACAAGGCTAGAAAGTGTTTTGAAAGTCATAAGGAGACACAACCTCAAACTAAATAAAGACAAATGTAAGTTTTTTCAAACACAAATCGATTACCTTGGACATACTATAGATCAAAATGGTCTACACAAGAACAAGAACAAAGTGGAAGCAATCTTAAAATCACCAAAACCGTCAAATGTGTCAGAGCTACGAACATTCCTGGGCTTGACTCACATCCTAATGTCACTAAGGAATGCCACAAATGCTACAGGGTCCTCGGCATATGAACTTATGTTTGGGAGACGAATAAGGACAAGGCTGGATCTTATGAAGAGACCACAAGATCACACAGAAATGCCCGACGGATGTACTAAAATCAAAAGAGAGTTTCGGGTGGGGGACAGGGTTCAGGTGCGCAATTTTGGAAAAGACGGAAAGTGGAAATTTGGAAACGTAAGAAGGAGAGAAGGATTGGTGCATTATCAAATCGAGATGGACAATGGACAGGTTTGGAGAAGGCACATTAACCACATTCGGCCTAGTAAATTTGAGGGGGAGGATTAATAAGGAGTTGTCATCAACATATGACTTAACACACATGATTTATGTTATTGTTTTTAATGTTTATGTTTGTGTTTATATATTTTTCATTCAGTTAAAATGGTTGAATAAAATAGGTTGTACATTCTCTTGTATCTTGTTTATTATATAATTTAAGGATTTGATAGTGAGTATAGAATGGAGTGAAATGATTTGTGTCACTGACTAAGATCAGCTGTTTCTTTAATAACACAGACTGAAACTGCTATTGTTTACATTCTGCAGACAACATCCAGCTTGCCAACAGTTAGCGAACAGATAGCGCTACAGATGGTTGTTCAATGCGTTACTAGGTAGCAGCACTAGTTAGTCTCGGACTATTTAGATGGTATTTTTCAGTTGAAACACAACAGTGATCATAAATGTGTTCCTGAGACTTTGCTGCAAAACATCATTTTCCCTAAAATGACTATATTACGATAACCTCGTCCAACTAAATCGAAGTTAAATTCAATATTACATTGTAAACTACATGTCTTTTGATTTTATGAGATTTTGGTTTCAAACAATGCTATCAGAACATGAAAATTTATAGGAAAACCAGAAAAATTACAACAAAAACTAAGTTTTATTTAATGTTTACTACAAATACCGGGATTTATCTTTGTTATATATTTTCTTATTATTCAAAATTAACCTAATTAATAAAATAGTGACAACATTACAGTTAAAATTCAACAACAGATAATGGAATTGAAAGGCAAACAAAAAAGTCTTACGAAATACAAATTATTAGCCTAGCACTGAAAGGGTTAAATTAATAATAAAAAATAACATTAATTTAACATAAGTTTAACATTAATTAAACATTAATAATAAATAACAAATAAATTCACTCTTACTTTATTTATAAAAAAAATATCAAGTTTATATAAATTATTATTTTTTTTTTTTAGAAAACATTGAGGGACAAAAAAATTCCCCTTAATTTCAGAATGGCCTGTAAGTGCCTCATAAAAATGTTAGGATAAATGAAACATTACCTTCAGTTCTGGATTATTTGAAAGTTCAACCATCACATCATTCATATCTTTGCATTGCTCTGCCCAGTCAGCATAAAAATGAACAACAGCTAGATTTTCTCCACTAAAAACATGAAACAAGTTATTAAGCTCAAAATTTCATGAACAATGCATCGGCACAGACTATAGATTAGACTAACGTTACTCTATAGTTTGTGGTATTGGTGAACACAGGATTGATGCAGATGCTTACTACATATACAGTGAGCAGCAAAAAGATCGGACGGTTTTAAAATGTAAACAACTCAATTGTTTAAAGTGATACAAAGTGTTTCACTGTAGGTATATTACAGATTGATATTTATGAAGATTTATAAAAATAACTAAAAAAAAGGGTGAATTTGATCTGTTTTAAGATTTCAAAATCCTACCTTTCAAATGATGACAATGTGAATAAATGAATTTATTTCAATTGAGTACTGGTACAAACTTATTACATACATTGACAGTGTTTGGAAATTGACTGGCCGCTTTTCAAGCAGTGCGGCCAGTTAGAACAAATAAATACAATAAATTATAGCAGATTTAGATTCTAGCATTTAGCGTTAAAAACTCTCATGCCGCCTTGGAAATCTTGGACCATGCAATCTTTCAATCTTGCACTGAAATTGTCAAACAATTTCCCTAACATTGCAGAAGAGAGGTGACTATTTCTTGGCCTACGGCTTCCTTCAGTTCATTCAATTTGTGGGATCGTTTATGTTAGCTCTTTGATTTCAGCAGTCCTCACAAGAAAGAAATCACAAATGCTGAGATCCGGGGAGCGGGCTGACCTTGCAATGTCCCCCAAATGCAATGTGACTCAGCCAACCTGAAAATTCTTTGCACTTTGCATAACCGCCAGGCTTCAAATGTTGCACGATAACCATTTTGTATGGATGAAAGTGCAGAGCTGCAGCTTGTTTATCTGCAGGACGCCGTGGACTGGCTTCCACAGCTTCTCTCACTCTCTCAACGTTCTCTGGCGTCCGAGCTGACCTTGTTGATTTTGTTTCAATGCTGACCTGGTACCCGTAACTCTGAAGATACCCTTCCACGGCAAAATGGTGTTTCAAGTTGGGACTTGTCCTCTTGGACCCACATTGAAACACCTACGGAACTTCCGCTGAACAGCTACACATGAATTACTCACTTACTTGAAAAAAGAAACACTTCCTCAACAAACGCATGGTGTTCAGCCGTCCACAGCTCCATAGCTGATAAAAATGTCCGCAGGTAGGCTCTGGAACGCCCCTATTCCCAACACCCTACACCAATCATTTAATTCGAAAACCCTCATATAATTTTGCCGCTTCATGAATATGAGCACGCACTCTACTCCCTAAGCATAATGTTCAACCAATTAACACTAGTTAGGCTCTGACCGTGACAAAAATAAGCAGAATGATTAATCATGTAATTAGAATAGAATAGAATAGAAACGTCTTTTATTTGAAGCGGTTTTCAGTACAAAAATACACTGCTTTTCAAAACAGCTCAAGTCAGGTACAAAGTCTGCAATACAATAATAAAAGAGAACAAATCATTTAACTAAAACTAATACAACTAGCCTATATTTACAAATACAGTTTTTTTGTTTCTTGTCTGAAAGCCTTATAACTTAAGTTTTTAATTCTTTCAGGTAAGGAATTGTATTCCTGAGGGCCGAAAAAAGAAAACCCCTTCTTACTACATTCAAAGTTTACACGAGGCAAATGCAGTAGGCTATCCTGTCTTGTGCACCTATCTCGTACTTCTTTTCAAGTGGTTAGTTTATCTTTGAGGTAGGAGGGTCTGTTGGTTTTGACCACTTTATGTACTACTAGCTGTACCCGCAGGCTTTGCCCCGTTTAACTTCATAAGTATTCGCATGGCTCATTCACGTCCTGGTTGAAGTTCGTTCGCTACGCTCTCTCACCTTTAAGTTGGAGCTCGTTCGCTGCGCTCACTTGCCTTCAGGTTAGCTCGTTCGCTACGCTAACTCGCCTCCAGGTTGAAGTTCGTTCGCTACGCTCACTCACCTTTTGGTTGGAAATTGGCTGTTGTCATAAATAAATAAAAAAAATTATAGTGCTGCACTCTGTTGGTAATCTTTGTAACTTTTATGTTATTGAACATCATAGAACAGAACCAACTTGTTTGATTGAAACAGCTGTTAAAATGAATTAATTCCTTTTAAATATGAAAAATCATAAGATTAACATGGGGAACTACAACGCCACTGGGGCAGAGCCCGAAAGGATTTTTGAGATAAGAATATGCTTTAATGTTAATCGGGAATGTGAGCTATCATCATGCCAAATTTCAGCCCAATCCGTCCAGTAGTTTATGCGGGATTGAGCAACACACACACACACAAACACACACACAAACTTTCAGATTTATAATATTATAGTAAGATGGCAACAGTTTCAAGGACGCAAAAAACCTGCACTGGTAACATTTCACTTTCCTTTCTCGTATGTGATAGGCCTATGTGATCAAATTTTATTAGATCATATACAAAGCATTATATTTTGCAAGCGGTCCAAGATATTCAAATTTTCAGCTGACAAAGAAAACCCAAAGGCAGGCAAAGCATAATTTATTATTGGCAAACCAGAGATCTAACCATTTGTAATTTTACATTCTCAGCTAATATATGCCTAAATCTATTTAACATTCTCAGTTAAGAAATGACCCTTTGTATGATTGTTTTTACTTGCTTTGAAAATTTTAATTCTGTATCAATCGTAAGCCCAAGGACTTTAACAGCCTCAGTAACCTTCAATAAATCATTTTCCAAAAGTATATTTACATTATTTCGGTGGCTTAAAAGAGTGTTTCTCAAGCAATTTCTGAAATGTATTACTGAACACTTCTCAGTATTTAACCTAAGACAATGATTTTTTGACCACTGATTAATATTTGTCAAATTGGTAACAGCCTACTTAAGAGTCAAGTGATAAGGTTAAATCGGCTCTCATATACTCTCTTCCATTATGTTATAACTTAATGGAGCGATAGCCTATCAAGATAAACAAAAAGGTTAAACTGACACCGGATTTCATTTTCTAAAGAAAACGTATATGTCGTAAGGGTAAACTTACCATAATTCTTAATACAGTGCCATAAAGGGCTGCACTTTACTTTAGGTCCTACACTCAGGCCCACTTTTATAAACGGGCAGACTGGGCATATGCCCAGGGGCGCCGGTGGTTGGGGGGCGCCTGAGGGGCGCTCTGAACCACCGCCCGCACTAGGAAAAATAGGGTTTTATCAGCCGGGATTTCAAAAATAAAATGGGTGATTTCAATTTTTAATTAAGTGATTTTCTCTTATTGAAAAAGTAAATAAATACAACAAAATTGAAAATACTCGACCTACAGGTTATATACCTCGTGTAGTCAGGGAAAGGCAGGCAGCAGTGTGAACCGGGCACACTCACTATACTATCAGAGGCAGGGAGAGGGAGGCCTGCATGGTGGAAGGAAATACATATAGGTGTGCTATTCCCGTCATATGCTGACGTCACTCAGATTGCAAACACCATTTTACCATTGAGAAAAATTATAAAAACAATAACAATCAAATCAAAACAAATATATACTTATATGGAAATACATCAGCTGATTTTTTTGCAATTTGGGTGACGTCAGCAAATTACAGAATAGCACGTAGGCCAACTGTAGTCTACAGGCCTATGGTTGATGTGCCCCTCCTCTCTCTCCCAGTCCCACCCCTATCCCCACAAGTCACAACTACCAACTGGCGCGGTAGTTGGTAGTTGTGACTTGTGGGGATAGGGGTGGGACTAGGAGCCCGCGCGGCGCCAGTCCAGTACAGTAGTACAGTACTCCTCCCTCAGTAGTCAGTAGGTTGTGTTGTGTCTGCTGCACAGTCGTCAAATCAGTCACAACACAACCTAAACTATGACAGTCACTAGTCAGTGTTGACACTCACACTGCAGTTAGAAAACCAGTAATAAATAAATAGAAGTGTTGATACAAGTAAGTAGGCCTATAAACAGTGAAAAATGCATAAAAAACCTAGTGGAGCCGAGAGCCGCAAGTATGGTTGGCTGGAATAAAACAAACTCAAGAAGCAGTTTTAAAGATAAAGTGAAATGTATTAACCAGTATTTCCACTGATACGGAATTGAAAACTCCCTCCCGAAACAAAACTGGTAAAAAACACGCTAATGTATAAATATATATATATGCATAGGCCTATAGAAGAACCACAGAAAAACAAACTCCCTTAGTCTCATTCAATACGTGTGTAATGCAATGAACTGCACACTGAACTGCATACCGAAAAATAATAAAATCACTGCGTAGTGCATTAAGCTATTGGTGCAGGGAAAGATGCATTCGCATAGCAACTACTGTCAAGTTCATTGCACTCACCCCAACCCCCAACTCACCTGCTGTGAATTTCGGCGAACTGATGAGTCAACCCCCTTCCCTCTTCCCCTCCCTACACTGCTGTGGTCAAAACCTTTATAGTTAGGGGGCGCTGCTTTTGGGGGTTTGCCCAGGGCGCCACTGACCCTTAACGCGGCCCTGCCTACACTCATTCGAATGAAAATATCGATCGATATATCGATTGTTTCATTCGATGTATAGTTTGGTTAGTTAAAGGTAAGGTTAACCTAACCTAACTAACCAAACTAAAAATCGAACGAAACAATCGAATATGCGATATTTACATTCGAATGAGTGTAGGACCTAAAGTAAAGTGCAGCCCCATAAGTACCGTACATATTCATAACCTACTGTAAACAAACACTGCTGGAAGACTTACTTACCCTGTTAAATCTTTAAATTCCTCGGTTTTTACGATTGAAATTACAACCATTTTGCTTATTAATCGGACAATAGAACGGTAAGTTAGAACACTTGGAAGAATTAATTCAAATTGGTATCAAAATGGGCGAGAGTTGTAGAATTCATTGAATTCAATAAAAAATACTCAGATCAGAACCAACAGAATCAGATTTCAGAAAGGTAAATAGCAAGAGCAATTTTATATTTATTATTACAGTAGCAAGATAGCAGAAAGAAAGCAGAAGCAGACCAAACAGAAAAGCAGAATAGGAACAAAAAACCAGCAAGGAGCATCTGGATATAGAACGGCCGCGCACGCGCACTAGCAGGAACGTCAGTTTTTAGAAGCCGGTTTGTAGTTTGTAGAAATGTCGAGTAAACGAATACCAAGTAAAGGCTCCAGCTGCTTTGACTTTAACGGTTGAGAAACGTCACACACACAAGTTGTAGCGGGTAGCTGTTTCTGATACATTGGAACGAACCCGTAGTGCGCACGGTTGCCATCTTAGGTTAGAAAAAAATCGGGACATGCCCCCCCCCCTCATCCGGGATGAACATACAGTAGGCTTAAATACGGCCACCTTTAACTACAGGCCGCGGCCTGGTAGAATTGACAACGTCGCAAGTGGTGTTGTCAAGTGCCAGACGTCCCATAAGATAACATAGCAGACAGGTGGCCCCAGCTCATTATTTCGCATATTATTCGTTAAAAATTAAAATTTATGAACATAAATTTATCGAAAGATTGAAAATAAAACATATAGAATTGAAAACAAAAACAATAGGTTAAATTGAAAATCAATTTTTGTACTTTTAAAGTGGAATTAATATTTTCATAGCCCAGCAATCAAGCTTTCGTGATCTTAAAAAATACACAATCTACCATTAGCTGCGTCCAAACAAATCAGCTGTTACAACCCTACTTGCGATGTTGCTACTTCAAATGCCGCGGACTGGAGTTGAAGGTGGCTGTACTTAAATACGGGCATAAGCACGCATAAAGAACCAAAATCAGGACTGTCCCATGTCCCGATCGGGACAGTATCAGTACGCCGAGACCGCAGAATATGGACACGGATGTTGCTACAACAATGCAGGAGACGATCAAACTAGTAAAAAATACTTGTAAACAAGAAAAAATGCAATGTTATCTTGCATACAAATGTATGAAACAAAGACCCGTCTATTTTTATCAGTTTATTACGGGCAGTGCATCTGTGAAAGCAGTTTGACAATATTTTTACAGCAAATTATATTGTTTTCAAGTATTGTAATTTGTAATAATTAATTGTAAATCAAAATCGAATAAACTTATGTGGACGGGGGACCAGAATGTCAAGCTGATCTCGATACTAGAATTGTTGTAGAGTTTGGAAGACTGAAAAAACTAGTTATTTGTCAGCAGACTACGTAAAGTTTGATTAGAACCGAGAAATTTACTATATTAAAAAATATATAATTTATATTCTGGAAGAAACGCCTCCAATAGCCTATGGCCAAGTGTCTTGTCCATTTTTACCATAAAGCACATGAATATTTTATCAGCTTTTTTCATTACCGAATTTGCTCAAGATATTTTATTTAGGGAGAGGAGGGAAAATGCTTTTACGCACACATGTAGCCAGCCTGTAGTGTGAGACTCCTGAATTTATCACAGACTACTCACTAAAAAACCCCCTCTACTCTGTTGGACAGACCAATTGTTTGTCACATTACTTCAAGTCAGGCCAACACGTGACCTCCTCTAAGCCCTTTAGGGCTCTCACCGTTTCTGGCATTTAGATTCTTTATGGCCTACACCGCATCCAAGTCAAGCTTCTTGCCACGAAGAATACCCTGGATGTAATGTGACACACAGGTCCAATTTTGTGTTTACCATCAGCCTAAATTGAAAAAAAAAGATTTAGTTAAATAGCTTTAAGTACCATCTTTTTAGTTTATTTGGTGTTAAATAGTCCATGGTTACATAATATTTGCCTAACACAACGTTGCTAACATTAACTTTTAATAAAAAAAACTCTGCAACCGAACCCTTAAGTTTTATCATTGACTATACATACCTACAGTACTGTAAGTATATATAGTCAATGGTTTTACTTATAGTTATGTAAAGTTCTATAAATGAATAGTGAATCGTAATTTAATAATTTGAGGCATTGTTGCTCCAGCCTTGGAAAATAACCGCTCAGAAGGCACGAGCCTGGCCATTTTACTCAGATTTGTCAGAAATTACGTTCCGATACTTACGATACGATACTGGCCTCTACTTGGTATCGATACCAAGTAAATATCGGAACAACCGATACCGATACGATACCAGCAGTATCGCAATAAAAGTACTGATATCGATAGAATCGCAACACCCCTATATATGCTGACTGCTGAGACTGAGACCACAGACAATGGAAACCGTATACCAAGTTTAATAAAGATATCTTAAATAGTTTTCGAGAAATGTCTCATTCAAAGCGCGTTCGTTCAAATTCAAATAGAATCCCACGGTAGGAAACGCTTTCTGTCTTCCGCTACTACAGTGGCGCGGCAATACAGCCGCATCATGAAACATTAGCGCAGTCGCAGACCGCAGCGGCAGATCCAGCTGTTCCAGGTTCCAACTAGGGTTCCAACGTTCCAGTCCAGTTGCCAGTCACAGTCGGTACAGTCACAGTCTCAGTCACAGTCAAAAGAAACCGTCACCGTTAATCACTGATACTAGACGCCTTGACGTATCAGTTACCACGGTGATTTTCAAATATCAGTGAAATATATCAGTGACGTGATTTCACTTCACTCACTCCACTGCACTCCCATCACTACCATCGCTGACCGACTGTATAAAAGTATTGTCTGTTGTATTATTAGGAATTCACATTCTCCTCGAAATTGAATAGGCAATTAATTAGGCATAGATATAGGCTTAGTTGACTAGTTGAGGTTATCTTTCAATTTAAATTTACCCTCTTGCTTCCTTTCTAATTAACTGTTTTTTTCTGTTGAACAGGTAGGGTAAGCCTAAGTTACTGTAACATAATTCTAATACGTAATCTCCCTAATCTAGGCTAAGTACTTTTTCCCTTTCATAATATATTAGGCTTTATCCTTTCAGTATAGGTCTAATCTCTATGTTGGGTACAGTTTCTTAGCTGGGCTATGCTAATATTGATTGAAACTATAACTATCAATTCAATTAGTAGGCCTAAACCGTAATTTGATTTTTTTCATTGGGCCTATCAGCAAGTTTGGTTGGCTAGGTTAGGTTATGACAGTCTAATTGGGTACAGTTTCTTAACTGGGCTATGCTAATATCGATTGAAACTTATCGAATTTAAAATATTGATTAATAAACAATAACTATGATAGTGGTTTAAATACCTTATTCATGCAATCCAATTGTTGTCTCCACAACTAGTTTCAACCTGCTAGGAGGTCATCATCAGGTGAGTACAAGGATGAATTACTTCATATGAAGGTCGTCAGTAACAGTTTTTTTACATTTACACAAACACACAACGAATAATAAACACATAGTGCGCACACATACACGGCCGATAAAAACATTGAACTCGACAAGCGGACCCGTGTTGAGAATGCGGAAGTTGCGTCTAGACTGTAGGGTAAACAGCTGGTCAAGCATCACGCGCATTTTCTGCGCACTTCAAGGAAGTAAGTAATTCATCCTTGTACTCACCTGATGATGACCTCCTAGCAGGTTGAAACTAGTTGTGGAGACAACAATTGGATTGCATGAATAAGGTATTTAAACCACTATCATAGTTATTATTCGCAATCCGGAGGCTACCCACACCATAATGAAAAATAAACAATATTTTTAAATATTTCTATTATAAAATTAAACTATCATAACCCAACCTAACCGGGGAGCGAGCTGGCGTGGTTAGAGCGTGGGACTTCGGTCCCTGAGGTCCCGGGTTCGATCCCCGCCAAGTCACCAATGGATTTTATCTAAGTGATAATGCCGCAACCCCTAGGTCTAGCCTGAAGTAGGCTGCACTTTACTTGACGTCCTACACTCATTCGAATGAAAATATCGATCGATATATCGATTAATCGATTGCTTCATTCGATATATCGTTTGGTTAGTTAGGTAAGGTTAACCTAATATAACTAACCAAACGATATATCGAATGAAACAATCGAATGAAAATATTGAATCGAAAAAAACAATCGAATGAGTGTAGGACGTCAAGTAAAGTGCAGCCCTGAAGTAATGTGAAAAACAATCCCAGGCTCGTGCCTAGCGTCCTCAGGACAAAAAAAAAAAAAAAAACCCAACCTAACCAACCAAACTTGCTGATGGTGAAAAAATCGCATGAAGGTTTACTAATTGAATCGATAGTTTCAATCGATATTAGCATAGCCCAGTTAAGAAACTGTACCCGTTTAATTTTATAATTTATATAATTTAGTTCAAAATATCGTTTTGCCCTACCGGTACTGTTTATCACTCCAGGGCCGGTTTAACCCATACGCGAACTAAGCGGTCGCATATGGCGCCACGAAAAGGTGGCGCCAACGGGACACAACTTTGTTTCAGAAGACAAAATTGGAAACAACTTTACTGACAAGTGAACAACTTAATTTTATATTTTTTCGCTCAGAGTTCAAGTGTCCAAAGCACCACACCAAAGGCATTTATCCTGTTTGTAGGCCTATACAGCACTTTAATACTTGTACAGCACTTACATTCAAGGAATCAAGACATTGATTTGCAGTTTCGATTTGTAGTGAACTGACGCTCTGCAGCGTAGGCCTACAGCGCGGCGGTGCCTGCGGGTATCATTTCATGACTTATGCTCGAGATAAGAGCGCAGCGCCACTTGTCACAACAAGAAACTCCCCCCTCCCTTATTCCCTTGATCACTCTCCCCCCTCCTAGAGCAGATCAAAACTAGGAGAGTTAATTTTTAACTGGTTAATTCCTCTCTTGTCATCGACCTATCTGTTTTTCATTGTAATAGGCTTTATAAAAACTTATATCGTATCCAAGTTATCCTGTAAAAATTGATTTCACATTTAGAAATAAATTGTTAACTTTGGGTTTTGCTAATTTGTAGGCCTAGATGAGTAAAAGAGTAAAAATGTTAAATTTCTATGAATAAAAAACAGTAGTTGAAAACAGTCTTTGATTGCAAGTATTCTTCTAACCTAAAAGTTATTCCCAAAAAATTTCACAAATAGGGTTGTTATTTTCAGGTGGGGGGAATTCTATGTGGCGCTGATTCGGGTGTTCGCTTAACTC